AATGTTTAAATTAGTCATTTAAACTCAGAAAAGAAACACAAGAAGCACTCTACACACATGGAGAAATTTATAAAAAAACCAAACGTTGTTCTTGTTGGTGTTAATGTAGTGATTAATAATAATGAACATTTTAATTGCAGTTTCAGTCTTCTTCTTCACTATATCACACATTTACTCATACATTGAGTTTGTACCAATTTTTTGTGGAATGGGTTATGATTAATGACAAACAGGAGTAATGGTTAACTAATAAGTTAATTACTTGTAAACATTAGTTTCAAGTATTTTAATTTCTTTAGTAATAGACTCTTGATGTACATTTGACTGTATTTGCTTGTTTTTTGTTTTGCAGTTTTTCTGTGTTGAAACTACAAAGCAATGTTATAATTTTAACATACATTTTCTCTAAAAGTAACTATCTTGGATAGTAAAACTTCCAACTGAACATTACTGTTAATTAAACTGAGTTTGAGGGTTTTTCAACTTAGTTTTTTTCAGTCACCATTTTACGGACATTTTCAGTACATTTCACTGACATTTTTTACAGTGTGTAAAGAGAGCATGGATCTAGAGAGTGATGATAACACCAACAGCCGTTTGTGTGTATGTATATGTTTATATACTGTCTGTACTGTACATACATATATCCTTTGATGAGCAATTACACTTTCACTGGAAAGTTGTGCTCCCCCTCCCTGATTAGCATTTGTATAGCTCACAGCATTCCCATTTACATGTTAAAGCCTCCTGTGGAGGAGGGAGGTGGGGAACAACTAACTACGTCAACAGCCGAATCCAGAAGTTTCACAGTAATATACAGGGCCGAAAAGTAGACGAAAATCACACTTTTCATGCAGTGTGTTAGAATGGCCAAGTCAAAGTCCGGACCTGAATCCAATCGAGAATCTGTGGAAAGAGCTGAAGACTGCTGTTCACAAACACTCTCCATCCATCCTCACTGAGCTCGAGCTGTTTTGCAAGGAAGAATGGGCAAGAATTCCAGTCTCTCGATTGGCAAAACTGATAGACATATACCCCAAGCAACTTGCAGCTGTAATTGCAGCAAAAGGTGGCACTACAAAGTATTAGCGCAAGGGGGCCGAATAATATTGCACGCCCCACTTTTCAGTTTTTTAGTTGCTAAAAAAGTTTAAATTATCCAATAAATTTCGTTCCACTTTACGATTGTGTCCCACTTGTTGTTGATTCTTGAAGTGTTTGAAGCCTGAAATGTGGCGAAATGTTGTAAGGTTCAAGGGGGCCGAATACTTTCGCAAGGCACTGTACATCCATTTCTTTACCGATGTTGTAGTGCCAATGTAGGAGAGTCTAATCACAATCTGATTCATCTAAAGCCCATACATAGGCCAAATGGACAACAGAGGAAAGTGATGCACTGAGGGACCGACGGGAATATACTTCTGGGCACGGGGAGGACATTAACAAGGCTGTGGACAGTGTTACAAACTACAGTGCCTTGCGAAAGTATGCGGCCCCCTTGAACCTTTCGCCACATTTCCGGCTTCAAACATAAATATATAACATTTTAATTTTTTGTCATGAATCAACAACAAGTGGGACACAATCGTGAAGTGGAACAAAATTTATTGGATAATTTAAACTTTAACAAATAAAAAACTGAAAAGTGGGGCGTGCAATATTATTCGGCCCCTTTACTTTCAGTGCAGCAAACTCACTCCAGAAGTTCAGTGAGGATCTTTGAATGATCCAATGTTGTCCTAAATGACTGATGATGATAAATAGAATGCACCTGTGTGTAATCAAGTCTCCGTATAAATACACCTGCTCTATGATAATCTCAGGGTTCTGTTTAAAGCGCAGAGAGAACCATGAAGACAAAGGAACACACCAGGCAGGTCCGAGATACTGTTGTGGAGAAGTTTAAAGCCGGATTTGGATACAAAGAGTTCCCAAGCTTTAAACATCTCAAGGAGCACTGTGCAAGCAATTATATTGAAATGGAAGGAGTATCAGACCACTGCAAATCTACCAAGACCCGGCCGTCCCTCCAAACTTTCATCTCGAACAAGGAGAAGACTGATCAGAGATGCAGCCAAGAGGCCCATGATCACTCTGGATGAACTGCAGATAACTACAGCTGAGGTGGGAGAGTCTGTCCATAGGACAACAATCAGTCGTGCACTGCACAAATCTGGCCTTTATGGAAGAGTGGCAAGAAGAAAGCCATTTCTCAAAGATATCCATAAAAAGTCTCGTTTAAAGTTTGCCACAAGCCACCTGGGAGACACACCAAACATGTGGAAGAAGGTGCTCTGGTCAGATGAAACCAAAATCAAACTTTTTGGCCACAATGAAAAACGATATGTTTGGCGTAAAAGCAACACAGCTCATCACCCTGAACACACCATCCCCACTGTCAAACATGGTGGTGGCAGCATCATGGTTTGGGCCTGCTTTTCTTCAGCAGGGACAGGGAAGATGGCTAAAATTGATGGGAAGATGGATGGAGCCAAATACAGGAACATTTTGGAAGAAAACCTGTTGGAGTCTGCAAAAGACCTGAGACTGGGACGGAGATTTATCTTCCAACAGGACAATGATCCAAAACATAAAGCAAAATCTACAATGGAATGTCTCACAAATAGACGTATCCAGGTGTTAGAATGGCCAAGTCAAAGTCCAGACCTGAATCCAATCGAGAATCTGTGGAAAGAGCTGAAGACTGCTGTTCACAAACACTCTCCATCCATCCTCACTGAGCTCGAGCTGTCAGTCTCTCGATGTGCAAAACAGATAGAGACATACCCCAAGCAACTTGCAGCTGTAATTGCAGCAAAAGGTGGCACTACAAAGTATTAGCGCAAGGGGGCCGAATAATATTGCACGCCCCACTTTTCAGTTTTTTAGTTGCTAAAAAAGTTTAAATTATCCAATAAATTTCGTTCCACTTTACGATTGTGAGAACTGTCCAACACAACCTGAAGAGTACATTGAGACAGGCAAGGGGGGAGTACAAGAATGGTCTGGAGGAGAAACTGCAGAATAACATCCGAGAAGTGTGGAAGGGCATGAGGCCATTACTGGATACAAAGACAAGGGAAGTGAGGCAGCCGGAAATGCTGATGAGCTGCTGTGAACAGTCCTGCTCCTCCCTGCGGCTACACCACCTTTGCTGTGACCAGTCCTCCTGCTCCACCCGGCGGCTCCACCACCTCTGCTGTGACCTGTCCTGCTCCTCCCGGCGGCTACACCCCTTCTGCTGTGACCTGTCCTGCTCCTCCCGGCGGCTACACCACCTCTGCTGTGACCAGTCGCCAAGGAGAACGGCAAAGCTCCTGAAGGAATGTGCAGTGGAGTTAGCTGAGCCTCTCTCCATCCCATCTTTAACACAAGAGTCTTCAGACTGGATGTGTCCCTGCCAGCTGGAAAACCTCTTGCCTGGTAACCGTCTCCAAGGTAGCAAGGCCAACAGGATGCAAGGACTACAGACCAATGGCACAAACGTCTGTTACAATGAAGACTTTTGAGAGGCTAGTACTCCGACTGCTCATGCCACAGGTCAGGCAGGCTCTTGACCGCCTGCAGTTTTCAGGCGGTCATTTCCAAGTGAGACTTATACCTTTGCACACAACTCTGCTACATGTCATGTACAAAAAAAAATATTGTGGCATGTGTGAAAGGGGGATGCAGAAGAGTACAGGGAGGTGGTGGCTGCCTTCTCAGAATGGAGTAAGAGGAATGGTCTGATTCTCAATGCGTCCAAGACCAAAGAGATGATTATTGACTTTGATTATTGACACAGGAGCCCTTCCATCAACCAGTCACTCTAAATGGACAGGACATCGAAGTGGTACAGTCATACAAATACCTAGGAGTCCACCTGGACCACAGACTGGACGGGTCAGACAATATTGTCTATAAGAAAAGTCAGAGCAGACTCTTCTTCCAGAGAAGACTGAGGTCATTCGATGTCCGATGTTGCACATATTTTACCAGTCGTGTTGTAGCTAGTGCCATGTTCTCTGGGGTTGCATGTTGGGATGGCAGTCTAACCTCGAGTGACAGTAAACGGCTCGACAGGCTTATGAGGAAATGTGTTTCTGTGATGGGGAGAAGTGCGGCATATGTGGGAGCTGTGCTAAAGAGAAGGATGAGATCTCTAATGCAGGGCATCCTGGGCAACTCCAGACACCCTCTGCATGACACTATTGCCGTTCTGAGGAGTAATCATAGCAACTGGCTTATATCACTGCGCTGGCAAACGGAACGTATTAAGAGATCCTTTGTCCCTTGCAGGAGGATCAGCAAGGGACTGGTGCAATGAGTATTGGGTGGCAGCTCTGATTCCCCCCAACTCATAAATGGACAAATGAAGGGGTAGAAAATTAATAGATGAAAGAATGAATGCTAGCAGGTTAAAGAACTTGAAATAATGTACTGTATGTGTGTACAAAAAATGTATAATAAAAAATCAGCAGCAGTCAACATTAAACAACAGGGGAATAATGTGCTGAGATAAATTCTGATGGTATGATTGTAGCTAAAGAAAAATATGAAAATTCATGCAATTATTAAAGATGCAGTCAGTGATTTTTTTCCAGACGCACTTTTTAAAATCTTGTGGGAAAACGTCCCTAACCCCTAAAAGTAGTCAAGTTATCATGTGTAATGGAATTGACCAGATGTCTATAGTCTCCAAAAATTAAGAAAACATATTTTGGAGCGGACCGATAAAAAGAAACCAAAGGGATTCGTTCATCCCCAACGAACCAATGGGCTGCGTTAACCCCCTTCACCCTCTTCCTGTTGCTCGCGAGTGCGCGCACCCGAGTTATCGGATTATTTTCTAAAACCTTAAATGGCTAAACGGGAAATGCCAATTTCACTTTTCCCACCCACTCTCCCTGTTGTGATGTTTGGTTTGGTGGAGAGGCGAGGGGAGGGGCGAGTGGTTTCGATTTGGTGCTACGGCTAAGCTAACAAAATCGCTTACTGCATCCTTAATACAGAATAATCACCTTCTCTGCCACTCTAAAAAGAGTGGATCGGCTTCTGTCGGCACCACGGTACACCTGCGCAGCTCCTCCCCCAGTTGCCAGGACAAGTGTCCGTGATGCCCCGCCCCTCCTCCCATTCCCATGGCGACCAGGCCGTCGTGCAGCAAGAAGTCATGACGAAGCATCGGTTCACGGCGCAGCGTGAACCTCTGGTAGGACGTGATCAGACGCCTTAGTCGGGCCGTGAGGGCGGGACCAGAGGGCCACAGGGGGCGTGTCTGCACCAACTGGAGAGCAGCCACACCCATCCCAGAGCCGGTGGTTGTCGTGGTGACAAGGGTGGCATCTTGAGCACTTAGGTCTAAGGACAGCTGGGTCTGGGAGTCTGGAGCTGGAGGGAGTTCTGGGAAAGAAGAAAAACTGTAAAAACCCGGTGTATGTAGTTTACATACAGTTTACAAGTTTAGTAAGATTAATAATACAGACATTAAAGTGTTGCTTTCAACAATCTGTCCACTTTAAAGTAGTTCTAGAATTTACCATGCTGCTATCCAGAGAAGAAACTACAATATATGTTTATAATATTTCGGATGTTCATTTTGACATGTTAAGATGAATTATGTTAAAAAACGGCTTTGAAGTCGCACTTTTTCACTTCCGCATAGAAACGCTAAGGGGCGCCAAAATGGCAGCGATGACGTAAGAGAATGATCTCTCACAGCAGCGAACAGCAGTCATGGCTGGAATCTGTAGTAGCAGCGATCGGAGGTTTCACAGTCATCTGAACAAGGTATAAACATATTTACATCAGTTTTGTACATAATAGTGTGCAACTCTTTTAACCTTTTAGCCTTATATGTGAGATTCAAGCTAATTACTTGGCCTTGCGATCCTGTTGGGCAAGTTAGCTACTTGAAATCAAGATATCCTAAAACATGCTTACAAAGCAAATAATCGTTTTTACATTATGTCAGTCTCACTTTGGTTGCCTTTGATTTATTTACCACAATGTACATTGTAATATCCATAAACACCTATTAACAGTTTAATTAGCATTTTTTTCAATATTTGCATCACATGTAGTTATCATGTTAGCTCTTGTGTCTATGTTTTCAACTTCAGCAGCTTTTTGTTCATAAAAGTAAAATATTTATTTAATTCAAGTTATTTTGATTAGCATTTTTGGATCTTACAATGTACATTGTGGTAAATAAATCAAAGGCAACCAAATTGAGACTGGCATAATGTAAAAACAAATATTAGCCTTGTAAGCATGTTTTAGGATATCTTGATTTCAAGTAGCTAACTTGCCCAACAGGATGGCTAGACCAAGTAATTAGCTTGAATCCAAGCCCCGGCGATCCAAGAAGGCGCCCTATTCAAATGAATGGTTGTGTTCAGTGACGTTTTGTGACAGCATGGGTGCCGAAAAGATTAGCGGAAGTCGCCTGGAACTCGCAAAGATCTATGGGAAACTCGCCTGTATTTGGGCATCGTCTGGTCCTCCCGGTTCTGCGCAGTGGATGATCTCCCATAATGCGTTGCGCCAAACACGCGTGTGTGGGTCTCACGCACGTGCACAGAGGGGCTCGGCTGCGCTCTGACCAATCAGAGCAGTTCATCAGAGTGGGAGTTAGAGTGAGAGCCAGACGAGCAGAATTTGTGGCAGTAAAGTGTGGATTTAACAAAAACCAAAGGATTTAAGAAGAAAAAAGTTCAGGATGACAAGGGACACTAAAATCCCCACAAAATCCGACCTTTATTAAAGCTGTAGGTTCTCTGTCAGCTGAGGTCGCGCTGTTATAATTTACATTGAGTTCTATGGGGAACATCTCTGGGTAGCCCACGTGAATTTAGTCTAGTCTAGTCTGCAGTACCGCGAGAATCCCCCGAGCACATGGGTTCTTCAGCTCCAAGCTAGTAATACCCTATCCAGTTAATATAACAGATCCATGCACATATAAGGCTAAAAGAGTTTATGTACAAAACTAATGAAAATATGTTTACACCTTGTTCAGATAACAGTGAAACCTCCGATTCTTCCCCAGATTCATACTCCATTAACTATCTGCTCCTACAGATTCCAGCCATGACTACTGTCCGCTGCTGTGAAAGATCATTCTCCTACGTCATCGCCGCCATTTTGGCGCCCCCTAGCGTTTGTGAAAAGGTGCGACTTCAAACGTGTCAAAATGAACACCCAAAATATTATAAACACATATTGTAGTTATATATTCTGGATAACAGCATGGAAAATTTTAGTACTACTTTAAAGGTCAGATGGAGCCTCAGAGCTCAAAAAAGTAATTGGTTATCGTTACTAAATACTTCTCCCAAAGGGTTAGTAACTGCGTTAAAGACTTTGTTAGATAAAATAAATTCCATAGACTCATACAAGCAGCATCTAACCTGCAAGTCACCAATACATGCATGCACACACTCAGACACACCAAATAGGGCATCGAACTAATCTACTCATATTAGATAAAAGCTGCATTTTTACAATGAATGTGCACTCCATTCCAACTAAAACTTGATGGAGTCAAAAAAAAAAATCCATAAACTCTGCTCTAGCATTTTCTAGTATTTCCTTGCACTTCTCTGTGTCTCCTCTCACTGCTTTTCTTTCCTGCAAACAATGATGTGTACAAAACTTTGAAATAAACTTACCCAGGGCTGTACTGTCTGGTTTTTCAGAGGTGTTTGTAGTGGAGCTGCTCTCCTCTCCTCCCTGGACACAACAAGAAATATCATCATCTCCATCCAATAACCAATTCAGTATCTCACTCAACTATCACCAATTCTGTTGAAAAACATGATTGTATGTTTTATGTTGGTGTTTGGCTTGTAAATATATAAAAAAAAAAAAATTGGTTGTCAATATTTTCCTTGCCACTGCTACTCTCTCAGCTAGCCTTTGCTCAACCAGTCTCCAGGGTGTGTCCAGGGAAGATTATAAATAGCGTACGTGGAAATGGATAGGACATCAATTAATCAGACAGCCATGGTTAGAATAAATATACAGTAACCGAGGGCGATAGTATTCATATCAGTATTAATATAGATGTACAGTGCCTTGAGAAAGTATTAATAGTTAATATTAATACAATACAAATACTTTTACTGAAAGTTCACACAAAAGTAACAGACAACTGTGAAAATGATAGATGATACTGTTAACTCATTGACCGCCATTGACGTGTTAACACGTCAATTGCGTGTCCCGCTATTTTCACGTTCCCAGATGTCTATTGTATCTAATATGTATGGGGATTGGCTTGAAGCAATATTTTATCGAGCCAGCAGGTGGCAGCATTTCTCTCTGGGGATTACAGGGGAACGAAACAAGCTAGAAACAAAATTCTTTTCGCTGATGAAAGTAGACAGTCCATTCTTTCAGAATATGGTTTTGGATTTCAGATAGTCATAGTACACAATATTCTGTGGGTCTTGAAAAATCTATAAAAATCATCAGAAACGGCTGGCAATATGAGAGTACCTGTTCTGAAATGGGCAGGCAGTCAATGAGTTAATATTTCAAAAATGGAAGTGAAAAGTTGGTTCTGCTCATGTATTAATACAGCTTTTTTCAGAGTTCATTGAATTGCCTTTAAAAAATTCTAATGACTGCTGAAGGTTCACACCTTGCCCTACTGATTAAATGGTGTGTAATCTACTCCCAGTATGGTTGGTGTGTATTGGTCACTAAACAACATAATGAGGCCAAAGAGCACACCAGAGAGGTCAGAGATAATAATAGATTGTAAAGAAGTTTTTGGTAAATTATACCACGATTCGCCAATATTTTAACATCTTACAGAGCACTGTTCAATTATTTGGAAATGGAAAGAGTATGGTACCACTGAGAACTAACAAAGACACAGCCGTCCACCTAAACTAACAGATTGAGAGCACTGATCAGAAAGGCAACCAAGTGACTGAAGATGACTCTGGAAGAATTACGAAGCCGCTGAGCTGGGGGAATCTGTACATGGGACTATCAGTCATGCTCTACACAAATCTGGTCTTTATGGACTAATGACAAAAAGAAAGCCATTATTGAAACAAGGCCAGAAGAAATCCCGTTTGAAGTTTGCCAGAAGTCATTTAGGGGAGATGGCTCCCATGTGGAAGAAATTTCTTTGGTCAGATGAGACAAAATTGTAACTTTTCGACCCAAAACGCACAAGGATTTGTATCCTGCTCATTGAACCATCCCCAGTGTCAAATATAGTGGGGGAAAGCATCATGCTATAATGCTGCTTTTCTTCAACGAAAACTGGGAAGATTGTAAGACTAGCTGGGAAGATGGATGGAGCCGAATACAGGGGCATTTTGGAAGAAAACTTAGAGACGGCAAGAGAGTTGAGGCTGGGTCGAAAATCAGTTGAGCTATGAGCATTCCTGCTGTACAGGAAACAAATTCCATCCAACTTGTGGTCATTAATACATTATTCTGAGATTCACCTTCCAGCATTACAATGACCCTAAACACAAAGCTAAATCTACAATGAAATAAAAACAAAACATATTCATGCAATAGAATTGCCCAGTCAAGGTCCAGACCTACAATGGGGCAAAAAAGTATTTAGTCAGCCACGGATTGTGCAAGTTCTCCCACTTAATAAAATGACAGAGGTCTGTAATTTTCATCATGGGTACACTTCAACTGTGAGAGACAGAATGTGAAAAAAAAATCCAGGAATTCACATTGTAGGATTTTTAAAGAAATTATTTGTAAATTATGGTGGAAAATAAGTATTTGGTCACTTCAAACAAGGAAGATCTCTGGCTCTCACAGACCTGTAACTTCTTTAAGAAGCTCTTCTGTCTTCCACTCATTACCTGTATTAATGACACCTGTTTGAACTCGTTATCTGTATAAAAGACACCTGTCCACAGCCTCAAACAGTCAGACTCCAAACTCCACTATGGCCAAGACCAAAGAGCTGTCGAAGGACACCAGGAAAAGAATTGTAGACCTACACCAGACTGGGAAGAGTGAATCTACAATAGGCAAGCAGCTTGGTGTGAACAAATCAACTGTGGGAGCAATTATCAGAAAAAGGAAGACTGATAATCTCCCTCGATCTGGGGCTCCACGCAAGATCTCATCCCGTGGGGTCAAAATGATCATGAGAACGATGATCAAAAATCCCAGAACCACACGGGGGGACCTGGTGAATGACCTGCAGAGAGCTGGGACCAAAGAAACAAAGGCTACCATCAGTAACACACTACGACGACAGGGAATCAAATCCTGCAGTGCCAGACGTGTCCCCCTGCTGAAGCCAGTGCATGTCCAGGCCCGTCTGAAGTTTGCCAGAGAGCACATAGATGATACAGCAGAGGATTGGGAGAATGTCATGTGGTCAGATGAAACCAAAGTAGAACTGTTTGGTATAAACTCGACTCGTCGTGTTTGGAGGAAGAAGAATACTGAGTTGCATCCCAAGAACACTATACCTACTGTAAAGCATGGAGGTGGAAACGTCATGCTTTGGGGCTGTTTTTCTGCTAAGGGGACAGGACGACTGATCCATGTTAAGAAAAGAATGAATGGGGCCATGTATTGTGAGATTTTGAGCCAAAACCTCCCTCCATCAGTGAGAGCTTTGAAGATGAAACGTGGCTGGGTCTTCCAGCATGACAATGATCCCGGAAGGAGTGGCTCCGTAAGAAGCATTTGAAAGTCCTGGAGTGGTCTAGCCAGTCTCCAGACCTCAACCCCATTGAAAATCTGTGGAGGGATTTGAAAGTCCGTGTTCACTGCTCTCGAGAAGATCTGCATGGAGGAATGGGCTAAAATATCATCTACCGTGTGTGCAAACCTGGTAAAGACCTATAGTAATTGTTTGACCTCTGTTATTGCCACCAAAGGTTATATTACAAAGTATTGAGTTATTGATCAAATACTTATTTTCCACCATAATTTACACATACATTCTTAAAAATCCTACAATGTGACTTCCTGGTTTTTTTTTCTCCACATTCTGTCTCTCACAGTGTACCTATGATGAAAATTACAGACCTCTGTCATTATTTTTGAACTTGCACAATCGGTGGCTGACTAAATACTTTTTTGCCCCACTGTACATCCACTATAAGATCTGTGGAAAGACCTGAAAACGGCTGTTCAATCGCTCTACATCTAAATTGACAGAGGTTGAATCTTTTTGTGAATACTTGTGCACACCTAACTTTTGGGTTTTAACAGAGTTACTATATTTATCATTTGGCTTTCCTTTCACAGTTGTCTGTTACTCGTGTGAACTTTCAGTACAAAAAAAGAAAAAAAAGTACTAATATTTTTGCAAGACACCGTAGAATGCTGGCATTAAACAATGTTGGAAGTCAATTTAGTAAATAAAATAAATGTAACTAAATACTTTTATCAAGGTCTTCATAAAGTACAAAAACTCCTTTTCCTTTTTACCTTTTCGGTCTCTTCGCGCTCCACTCCTCCTTCTGCTTTGCTCTCGGTGTCCTCCTTCGCCTCCTCAGTTTTGCAGCTATTGAAAAAGAAATATTAACTTGTATTTTACTTATTGTACTTGTCATCCTATGGAGTATTTTTGTTTTGTTTTCAATAGTTTGTGTTCATGTCATAGTATTTCATTTTAGTATCTCAGGCAGGTACCAATAATACCTAAAAAATAGGACATTTTTTAAGAACTGTAGAAAGAGACCAAACGTCCAAACTTTATCAGAACTGCCATATTACTCTCATGCCTGAAAGTCCCTTCTACTGGCCAATGTCATGCAAAAGTGTTTTGAATATCCCTGTGATTTTCTGATTTCTGGACAAACTAAGTGTTCAATTTATAGAATAACTAATACTGCCAGAAATGTTTAGATTTTAGTTATAAAAGTAGGTGAGCCCTTAAAAACACTGAAATACTGATGTATCTTATTTAGTCTACCAAATATCTAGCTGTATTTAGATAATTTAACAAATATAGAGTGCTTCTTCTAAGTAAATTAAAATGTTTAGCTTACAAAATAAATCAGCTTTAGATTTAAGATATAAGGTATTCAACCTATACAAGTTTGAGACTATTTCTTATTGAGCCAGTATCCTTGTAATATTTTCATAGATAGATTAACATTTAGTTCTAGTTTGAAAGATCTAAAAACATAAATTACAAGCTCCTGGACTCCCTAAATCATATTAAAAGGCCTTCTAGACAATCAGTCTTGGAAGACGCTGGACAAGGTCATCCAGAAGTCCAGCTCTGTCCTGGGCTGTTCCCTGGACACAGTGCAGCAGGTGGGGGACAGGAGGGTCCTGGACAAACTAACATCTATGCTGGACCATGACTGTCACCCCCTGCAGGACACTGTCTGCTCTGGAGAGCAGCTTCAGTGACAGACTTATTCATCCTTGATGTTTGAAGGAGAGGTTCTGCAGGTCTTTCCTTCCTGCTGCTGTCAGACTGTATAACAACAATAAAGCCTAGTGTATACTTGCGCGGCGTGGCTTACGTTAGCGGTTGCAGCGGACCTACGTAAGCACAATGGATGTTATACTGGCGCGTTCCCCTTACGGAGTTTTGAGGAGAATGTTGTAATCCCACAACAAACCACATGAGGGCGATCACACAAGAGCGGTCCCATTTACGCTGCTACTTTGTCCTCTTCAGAACAACAATAGCAAACAAAGCTGTTGAGCTCATTACACGTGTTTCTACTGCAGGTTTATGTGATAGTTTTATGGATTCATTATTTTATAAGTCATTTCAACTGTGATGCTGTGAATAAAGACAGTTCTTGTTGGAAACAGTTATTATTAAATAGTTTTCAGCACAAACAGCAAAACAATAATAGTGGTAAATATCTGAGACAAACATGAACGATTTACGAGTGCAGGAGGAAAGCAACAAACGCAGCTACGATTCAAACAAGACAGGAACAGTGCAAAACAAATGACTGCACAGTTTATAAGTTATATATATATGTTAGAGAGTCCCCAGTCTCCTGTATATCAGGCTCTGAGCCCAAACTGCTTTTCCTTCGAAGCACAAAGCTCTCTGCTCCATAGTGCCTCGTCCATGTCCCTGCTGCAGCCGCTTCATGCTTCCTTCCAATACACACACACAGACCAATCACAGCGGAGATTCCTTGCGGCGACCCTTACGTAGTTAGAAAATTTCGATGCTGCGCGGCAGGGAACGTAAGGGCCTTGCGGTGATCAACGCGTTGCGCAAGTGACGTTACGTCACCTCCGTAAGCTCCGCGTGAGTATAAATTAGGCTTGAGGACTAATGAACACTGCCAACTTGATTCCACGTGTCATGCATCGTTGCAATATCCTTAACTCGTATCAGAATGTGCAATAACCACATGTCACTGTCACTTCACTGAGCAGCATGAGCCTCATGCTGCTAATGTACAGATGTACAGTAGGTCCCATTTCGTTTTGTCGTCTTCATTCACGCTTTTCATGAATCACGCAGCTGCGTGAAACATATTACATCCTATCGCCACTAGGTGGCAGGTTAAGTCCGCTTTAGCTCTGCCAGCGACTTAAACGCTCAGGTATAAGACTGCGTGCAAACCTGTTTTGCCTAGTGACGCACACATGTGGCGCAGAACTAAAAAAGGTCTTGTTATGACTCTCAAATCATTAATGACAAAACAAAGACTAAAACGAGGATTTATATCGGGATGCCTTTGAACAATTGAGACAGCTGATAAAAGTTCATGTGTGATGCAGAATTTTCTAGTTTGAGTCCGTTCTTCACAGTGTCTCTGCTTGTGTGAATCGGTGGTCTAGTGGTCTAAGCTGTGCGCTTACAATGTAGGAACCCGGGTTCAATCCCCGGCCATGTCTTTTTGTATTTATTGCATGTTATCACATTCTATGACAGATTGCTCTAAAAACGGTAAAAGATGAAGGTCAAGACGTTTTTTTGCAGATTATAGCTTAATTGTAAAAATAATCATTTAAGACCACATGTACCCCAATTAAAATAATGTTAGTCTCTTTTTGATGTGGAACATGTTTGTCTAAAAAATAGGGAATAAATAAAATTGAAAGGTGATATCCTCTTGAGCAAACCCTGATGTTGATACGCTGAAGAAATACGTTCCAACATCCATTCTTTCCACTCCTATTTTGGACATCAATTGCTTATTTATTTTGCATAAACTATGTATAATTACATTGCTTTTACTTTAGCGTCCGCCAAAGCTATTTTCTCACGGACATCTCTGATGTTCATATATTACAGCATTTTCCCGCAGCATAAAACAAACATATAGAAAGACAGAATGCTGATGCGCATGCGCAGGGCTTGGTAACGACACACACACACGAGCGTACGCGCACACACACACGCACACACATGCGCGCGCTACTGGGGGAAGCAAAAGCATGGCAGAGAGCCCAGGAGCCGCCGCGGTGGAGGAGGACCATGATAAGGACTCTCAAAGTGTTGTACCGTGGCCATACCTCCAAAAGTACGTCACTCTAGTCGAGATGAGCGAAAAGAAATATGTTTTCAGATGCCTACTCTTTGTTGTTTTTGGTGTTTTGGGCTATTGTTCAATAAAAGCACAGGCTGCAAAATCTCCGATCGGTTTTCTCCTGCAATATTCCTTTTGGGCTTCTGTTTAGTGTCCTTCCTGTATCCGGTGAGCGTGTTTCTTGACTGCTATCACTCTGCTCTCTGTTTGCACTAACAAACACATTACAAATCCACGTATTGTACACCAAGCTAACTGTGTAAGCACTCCGAGTCAGCTGTACTGTAGCTGAGGTTTAGGTAGCGGTTGTTTGTCTGGTCTCGGAGTCTGTTGTGCGGGCCCGGATCCGTACTAGCTTAGCCTAGCCTAGCTTAGCCTAGCCTAGCCGCTAACTCGCTACTATGGCGGCTGCTGTCTCTCCCTCAATCCTTTACTGCTCGAGTTGCCATATGGCGAGTCTAAACCCTGGATCCTTCTCTGAGGGTAGTGATAGATGTGTGAAGTGTAGTGTATTCGTAGCTCTGGAATCCAGGGTCAGTGAGTTAGAGCTGCGTCTCCGAGCACTGGAGTCTCGAGCTAGCGCTAGCATTAGCTACAGCCAGGCCGTATCCTCAGGGACAGCGGAGCGCAGCTTTAGGGAAAGGCAGAGGAGAACTAGCGAGCCTAGCCTCCCAGCCCGTCCTCCGCAGCTGGGACAAGACCAGGATAGTGATGGCTTTGTGACTGTTCGGAGAGGGCGACGTGTTGTTGGTAGTTTCCCCATTGGGCCTCCTCCTGTTAGCATTTACAATCGCTGGGACGCTCTGTCCGGCTGCGCCCCCGCGCGGCCGGGCGGGGAAGAAGGCCCCACTGAGAGAGCCGCTGAGAGAGCTGCTGAGAGAGCCGATGGAGTCGCTGATGCGCTGGTAATTGGCTCCTCTATTGTTAGAGGTGTTAAGATCCCAGGAGCCACTGTTCGGTGCTTCCCTGGGGCCAGGCTTGGTGATATTGAAGGGAATCTGAGGCTCATGATGACCCACAAGCAGCGTTTCCGTCGAATTGTTATTCACGCGGGTGGTAATGACGTTCGGCGGAAACAGTCCGAGGTGTTGAAGCTGCAAGTCGCCGCCGTGTGCAAGCTGGCTAGCACAATGGCCGACACTGTCATCTTCTCTGGGCCCCTACCTAGCACTAGCAGTGCAGAAGCATTCAGCAGACACTCGGCTTTCAACCGCTGGCTGTCTGGCTGGTGCCCTCGAAGTGGTGTTGTTCATGTTGACAATTGGAGTGCCTTTTGGGGAAAGCCCGGTCTCATCCGCTCGGATGATATTCACCCAACGTTGGCGGGTACATCCCTTTTGGCTAAGAATTTGGCCCTGGCTCTAAACTGTTCTGCTCGGCTCAAATGACGATGCAGAACTGAGGCCCGGGTGCAGAGCTGCTCTGCCACAACCTCTGAGCCCCCATCTGTTCAGTTACTAGCCTCAGAAGCTAGTCAGATTGAAACTGTGTGTGCATGTGTGTGTGTGCCTGTGTGTGCTCAGTTACTAGCCTCAGAACCTAGTCAGATTGAAACTGTGTGTGTTCCCCGCTTGAAGTCTAAAGCACTATATGCGAGGAAATCTGACCTGGGTGTCAGACACAGTAACTTAATAAAAGTTCAGACAGACAGAAATAGTTCTAACAGTAGGGTTGTTAAATGTGGTTTAATGAACGTCAGATCAATCTCGTCTAAATCGCTTCTCATAAACGAACTTATTATAGACAAGGGCTTGGATCTGTTAGCGCTCTCGGAGACTTGGCTCCAACAGGACGAGTACGTTAGATTGAATGAGTGCACTCCTCCGACGCATGTTAACTACCAGAAAGCCAGAGCTACAGGTCGCGGCGGTGGTGTTGCGATTATATCACACACCAACTTGGTTCTTAGTCCCAAAACCAACAACGCTTTTCACTCGTTTGAAAACTTAACACTTTCAATCACCTGTCCTGGGTGGAGAAAACAAAAAGCAGTACTATTTATAGTTTTATACCGACCTCCTGGTCCTTACAGCGAGTTCCTAAC